GCCTCAGGGACCCTCCCTCCTCATCCTCAGTGCTCTGCAGAGGGTCACCCTGTCAACAGCAAAAGCTGATAAGCACCAAGAGCAACAAACAGGGGCCTAGCCCAAGGTCCTGGACCTTATCTCGAAAGCAGGAGGCACATTGGGAACCTGACCTTTGTGACCAGCACAGGAGATGCATTCAGCAGCAATGCTCCAGCTGCTGGCTTCTCCATGCCCAGGGCTGGTGATGCCCAGAGTTGGTGATGGGAGTTTGCCCCCCAGATCAGTCTACCCCTCTCTCTTCAGGCCTGGGTGACCAAGACAGGCACTCACTAGTGTGCTGAGAACAGAGTGGGAGCCAAGGCATGCGGAGAGACACCCCTAGAAAAAAGGTGCAACAACAAATCCCAGAGCATCACCTGCTCCCTCTGCAGTGAAAGAGCTTCAAAGCAGAAGAAAAGCAAAAAGCCTGAGGAGCAGACATCATTAATCTCTTGACATCAGCAGAAGGGTGCTCTCTGCCTGGATCCTGCTGTCCATGAGACAGCACAGCCAGCAGCGCCCGTGGCACAAGTGAGAGGAGGTCACTGCATCCCTGCTGAATTCCTGCTGACACCACCCCTTTAATGGCTGTCAGCCTCTTCTGCAGCTGCATCTGGGGACTTGGAAGCTGACAAAACCCTTCCTAGGGAGCATCTGGTACGTCTCACTGTAAATATTTAACAACAAAAAGACAGGAATGAGAGCCAAGCGCCTGCAGAGAGACCCTCCAGCTCCAGTTCACACTGTCTAGGAGGAGACTGTGCAGCTCCCACTGTGCCAGCGGAGGGGGAGAGAGGTTGTACAAGGCAAAAGTGTGAACTCTGCACAAAATATGCCTCTGGAAAAGCTGTCATCTCAAAGAACAGAATGGGTTTCCAGAAAGGAGATTGTGATGTAATTCAAACAGCATCAATCCGAGTTCCTCCTGCTGTGATTCCTGGACCTTCCTGGCTACTCCGGCAGAGGCATCCCTGCAGGACCAGAGTGTCCCCTGAGCAGTGGCCATTTGCTAAGTGACCACTTAACCTTGCCCTCAGCCTGCACAGCTGCAAACCTGCCTCCCTGACTGCACAGAACAAGAGGAGACTGAGCAGCAGCTCAGCTTGTGAGGTCAAGGAACACAAAGGCATCATGGTGCAGAAATCCAGCTCCATCTCCGGGGGCAGGGGACAGTAGCAGGGATTTGGTGGTAGGAGCAGATGCAGCAAACTTCCCCAGGAATTTAGGGAGGTCATACTTAGGTCTCCCACTAAGCAAGGTGTCTCGATAAATGTGCTGAAGAAATAAATAAATAAATCTCATAACCACCTAGATTAAACTCAGCACAGGTATGGGGGCTTCCTCCTGCTAGTGAATCCATGGCATTAAACTCATGACAAGGCACTCAAATATCCCTGTGATATTTGACAGCAAGCAGAAGGGCTTCTTTTTGTGCTACTTCAGGATTACTGCACCTCAGCTGAGCTGATTTCAGGCATGCTTTTCCAAGCAGAAGATACATCATCCTCACTTATGCCCCCCACCTTAAGATGCAGAGACATTCCAAATTTTTCTAAATAACCCTGATATAGCCACTTTCTTCCTGGGTTCACAATCACATGAATCCTGCTGCATAAACCACTCTAATAAAGCTAATTCCAGTGCTACAGGTGGCTGCCTCCCATGTCAATACAGAGCATAAAAGAGTACAACACTCTAATCAGACTAAGTCTTCCCAAAGGAATCAGGAATACCCAATTACAAAAGAGTGCAACATAGCAGCTTCCTAATTTAAAAATTCATCTCCCCTCCTTTTATTTCTAAAGGATTAAAAATCACTTCCTTGCAGTGGTAGTATCACCCTCATCTCTTTATGGAAAACTTCACAGCGTTTAATTCAAAGAGGCATTTATAAACTCATGAAAGATATCTCAGACACGGCTGACAGTTGTACAAAATGATCAGGTCAGGGTGCAGCAGATGAAAAAAAGTCATCAGGAGTGGTGAAACCAAGACAGAGCATCACTTGCTGCTCTGCTGAACACCAGCGCATCCACAGCTGCACCCTGCAGTCAGCTCTGGTCTCTGGAATTCAACAAGGGCACAGGGCTGCTACAGCTGCTCAAAGAAAAGCAATTAAACCACCCAGAGGCAGCTCCTCGAGAGGTGAGACTAAAAAGGCTGGGATCCTCCACCCTGGAGAGGAGGAGGGCTGGCTGCAGCATGCAGGAGGCCAGGAGGGCACAGGCACAGCACACTGAGCTAGCAGGAGATGCACTTGAAGTGCCAGAAGTATTTCCTTTCAGAGCAGGCAGCAGATCTCACACAGTAGCGAGTTCTGGGAGCTGAACAGCATCAGCTGCCTGGCAGAAGTTTGGTGTTCAGAGTGAAGACAGCCACAGACATCCAGCTGCAAATGTGCCCTCCCAGTCCTCCTCAGCAGCAAAGTGGGAAAGTGAGAGTGTGTCCCTCGTTCCACCGAGCCCAACCCTGCATCTCTCAGGGGTGATGAAGTCTCTCAGCTTTCCATCTGAACTCCAGATCACATGGTTTGAAATGGCTCCTTCTGAAAAGCACCCTACAGCTGCCAAATCCTGGCTGTGGGATGTGGGAGAGGAAAGCACTGAGGCACTGCTGTGCCAGACAGAAGGAAAGTGAGGCCTCTCTTCAACAAGTGCTTTATTTGCAAACACTGTTAGGTAACTGGGACACAAAGACTGCTGTGCTTCCACCTCCGTAGTGCTCCACGTGACACGGGGATGATCCAGGCTGAGGATCCAGGCTGAGGGCAGGCTGCCACTGGCATCCCATGCTAACAAGCAGGAACATGCTCTGGGGCACACCACATCTACTGTGCCTACAAAATGGCTGAGTTTTGGCTCAGGCACCCCACCTATGCAATTCCCAACCCTGATACTGCGACTCAGCATCTTCCATCACTCTGCTAAACCATCTCCTTGGGAGGGGACCAACAGACTTCTCAGCCAGAGGGGAAACCAGTCATTCAAACACACCTGACTAAAGCTTAAAAAACAGATCCCTGATACGCGTGTGGGAGTTCTGGTGACCAGAGTAAATTAACTCGTTCAATAACCTCAGCAATGAAAAGGAGGTGAGGGAGTCAAACCCTCAGGAATGCACAACAGCTCTGGTGGCAGGAGCAGTGCCACTCTGCCTTTGCCTGCTGCCTTCACCCTTCACTGTATTTTGAGATACCACAGCTTCCAGATAAGCTTAGTGCATGGGAAGAAAAGCATGGCACCAACTTTAAGGCTTTTCTGGAGAAAGGTATGAGAAAGACTGCACAATGTCTGTGCAACTACCACTTAGAGGAATCCTGTTTAAGCTTTAACTTATCTCCTAAAAACCAGACAGAATTGTAAAAAAGGCCCCAAGCTCTGTAGGTAATGTTTTCTGTAGCACTGCTGACATGTAACAAACACTTTCTGAAGCACTATCATCTGCTGCAGACACACACTCATGCCCCACCCTGCAGGCAGCTGTGCAAGGTCCCCAACCAGCTGGAGAACAGAGAATGGAGCAGTGCCAAGCAAAGGACATCTCTGAGTTCACAGCACAGGCAGGCAAACCCCATACCCAAAGAAGACAGATTTTCAGCAAGGTGGAGAAAAGCCTCCTACAAACTCAACAGATGGGAATATATACTTGCTCTTCAAAACCCTAATGTTTCACTACTACAGGTTAAGAAAGCAAGAAAATCATGAGGGACTTACAAATGTGGAATCAAAGCCTTAATCCAGTGCATCTAGTTCTACACCAAGGCCTTGGTAGTCGGCTAGAGCTCTGGAAAAACATCCACAACTTCATCCCTCTGTTCAGTTCAGCAAGTTCAACTACAGTGCCTCCAATGTTACACCAGACCACTCCAAACCAGTGAGATATTTTCCCTGAAATTAGCTTTAAGACACCAGAGCTATTGCCATACTTCCAATGCCTCCATCATCAACAGTGATCTATCCTCACACCATCCATGAACTGGAGAAAAGGGATCCCATGCAAAGCCAAAGATGGACACAGGGACATGCCTGGGGTGACACAAGGCCAAGTCAGGCACTGACTTCCATTCCCAGGGCCTTTGCTATGGCACATCCCCACATGGCACTACAGCTCTGAACAACAGGCTCTCACTGGCTGATCCTGGTATCACTAGTTGAAACACAAACCTTTCCTTCAGTCCTGGCACTTCCACAACATCAGCCTGGATGAGGAGCTTCTGGCAATTTGGGAAAGGCAGGAATTGAGGTAATCAATGTTTGCTTATGAAAACGACATTACTTTCCTGATTTGAAAACTCCATCCAGAGTAACCTCACTCTCCCACCACAAGGCTGCCCACACCACTGGGGCCAGGAAGTTTTTTCTTTGCACTGATGGAAACACTGTAAGCAACCTGGTTGTCCGTAACAGCAATACTCAACAGCAACACACAGACTACAAGCCACAGGGGAGGTCTGTGTCTTCCCAAAGTACTGCAAATTCAAATATATATCCTCAGGTTCATAGACACATCCACCTGTATACAGGTAACATATAAACAACAACAATCTGAGATACATTTGCATCTTGACACATCAGTGTTTTCAATTATGTGTGATGAGCAAGACCTACAAGTTCCCAAACTCCTTCGCCCTGGACATCCAAATTTGCTATGCTACAATGTATGGGAGGAAAGAACCTTCCAGCTGTTTAGTCATCACTACATGAAAGCATAAAAGATGCCACTGCTATACAGGAATGACCAAATATTAGAGGTTTTGTTTAGGAAGTTCTTTTGCTTCGGTTTTTGGGTGGGGCTTTTTTGGGGTTTTGTTTGTGGTTTAGTTTTGTTTTTTTTTACACTAATGTCCATTGCATATTCCAGACTGTACATGGCATGTACCAGTCTTCTAAGTTTGGTTAGAGCTGACTCTGAAGAATAGAAGTGCAGGGAAGGCAAGGGAGAAGGAAGTTTGAAGAGCTCCATTTTTATTTAATACATACCAGACTGGCCATCAGCTGGAAATATATCTGTAAAAGAAAAAAAAAAAAAGAGAGGATCAGTATTGGTTGCAGCTGGAGTGCAAATCATATTTAAAAGGTCTCCTCTGTCGATTTGTTTGCTTTAGCTAAACAGAGGAAGTATTTTCTTAGTATCTCAAGTTAAACATCAATCCAGCTTGGAACCCACCTCAATTCAACCACTTGTTGAGAGAAAGATTTTGAAGGAGTCTGTGTTTACCTGAATGCACTGCTCTCATAAATAACCTTCTGCATTGGCTTCTAGCAGACAGCAGTGAGCAATAAAAAAGGTTGTTGAGATGTACAAAGATCCACACAATGAGCTACTTGGTGGCAGCCCACACTCCCCCAGAGCAGCAACATCAGATGGAAATCTACAGAGAACATCTAACAGGGAGCACAGGTGGAAGCCGAGGCAAAAGCCAAGTGAGCATTCTTCTGGTTGTCCTTGGTTCTGCAGCCACAGCAGCTGTGCCTGACTAACACAGCACCTACACCAAACACACCCCCAGCACCAAATGGACACCCAGGGCCTTGGCACAGCACCCATCACTCCAGGAGAACCCTTCCCTTTCCCTGCTCAGGAGTCTCTGGCAGCAGGTGCAGGACAGATGGAGTCTGGGGGGCTCAGACCCAAAAACAGATTATTCAACTCCCCAGCCCCCCAGGCTCTTTCCAGTTAGAGCCACAAGCCCTTCTCTTGGAGGGCCTTCGGTATTGCTGGGAAGATGCTTATTTAAGTAGCTGGAACGACCAGACTTAATTTAAGGAGCACACAGGACAGTGTGTGTGGGAAACCCCTGTTGATAAGGCTTCCCCAGAAGATATGAAAACAGTACTTTTGAGAGAGCAATTCATCATGTTTTCTTCAAGGATCCTGGAAGAGGAGGGGGAAGGAAGGCTGCCAGCAAGGCAAGGTCCTCCTGGGACAGGGGCAGGCCCCTGGCTTCTGCTTATCAGCTACCCAAAACACACATTCAGCTGGAAAGTCACAAGAGTTGCAGCAAGGACTACCCCTCAGGCAGGGCAATGCTCTCTGGCCTGGGCTCAGCTCATGCAGAAGCAGCAAAAACACTCCTCTGCCAAAATAACTTCTATTTCTCTTCCTTTGACTTGCACCATGTTCAAGTTTGCACCATTTTCAGGCAGGGATGCTTTCATCCCATACAGGAACGGGAAGAGCCAAGCAGAGCAAAAATACCCAGAAGTTAAATCAAGACTCTCTCTACCATTATTACACAGTTATGGTCTGTGGCCATCTGAAGACATGGTATCAAGGACTGCTCAGCACATCCAGAACAATCTCCAAGTACCAGTTTCAATCCTTTGCAAGCTGCAGGTTCTACTGCAATCCTCCCAAATGCATTTAAATATCTTTCATTTTTGTATGGTCACTGAGGAGTTCAGGCTTCTACATCAGCAAGCTGAAACACCCTTCACAGAATCATAAAAGTGTTAAGGTTTGAAAGAAGCTTCAACATCTCAAACAAGATATAATTTATTTCCCTACTTGGGTTTCTCTGCAAAGGAACAAGGTGGTAACACTGGTATCCCACCTGTTTGGATCAGCTGTACCAGATGTTACCAAAAACCAAAATAAATAACAGCACCACAAGGGCTGATAAAATAAATTCCTTCATGCCAGCAGGAATTTAGCAAAGCCAGGCTTTGGCAAATATTCCCCTTGCTGTACCCTGAGGGGTGCAGCTCTCCAGTGCGTTCCTGCTAGGCTGTCCCACCAACTCTTCATCAGACACACCACAGCACAAGCAGCCATTCACAACAGGTCCAGGCTCCAGACACCACAAATGCCACCAAATCAGGCACAGCTGCAGGTGACCCCTCAGCACCATCTCCTATCAGACCTGTCACCACCACAACCCCAAACTCACATTCTCCCAAGGTCTCCTCTCAGCTCACTGCTGTATTCCCCACTGCCCTGTCCTGCTCCAGATGTGCAGCAAGGCTCTCCTGGTGCCTCCTGAGCTCAGCCACAACTCTAGGGCAGCTCTGTCACTACATTTACCAGAACAGCAGTGACTTGACTCAGTGGCTGAGGTCAGTAGAAAGCAAGGACCACATGTGATGGTCAAGGACAGCTCACAGTCACCTCAAGAGGCTTGCCAGGGCAACTCCTGTCAAGGAAAGACACTGGCATCCAGCACTCAGCCCCCTTGTCTGGGAGAGGCTGACCTTGTACAACTCATCACACCTGTGATTAACACAGATTTGACTCCAAGCTCTCCAGAGCACACTGAGAACACTGCAAGCTGGCTTGCAGGCAGCTTTCCCCTACAGAGCAGTCTGTAGGACTTGCTCTGAAAAACAGGGCTGCAGGGAGGACAGATCTGAGGCAGGGCTGGTCAGGGACCAGCAGGCACAACGACCCTTTGGGACCCCTTTTTCCCCTGCAAGCACAAGTGACTTAAATTAAAAATTAGCCTGCCAATTAAGGGCAGCACTTCAGGTGCCCAAGAGAAGTCTAAATCAGGCAGTGCTTTCTTTTCCCAAGAAAGCCATGGTAGGGAAGCAGGCAGAAATGTATGTGGCCAGCAGGTAAAGCCCTGGGCTGCTCTCCAAGGAGAGAGCCCAAGGAGCTACACTGCAGGGCTGAGGCTGCCTGTCCAGGTCAGCTCCATTCCCAGCCCTCCCAAGGCTAAAACTCAAACACAAAGAAAGGCACAGGGACAGGTTTTGTGCCCGAAGTCCCAACATAGAAAGGTGAAGCCAGCAAACCAGTCCCACCAATTCCTCCCACCACACACCTGCTATGTTCCAAGGCACCCTGATGCCAGGTATCCCAACACTGGCCAGATGCTGCAGGACAATGCTTCACAGCAGCTCTCCACCATCCTGTCAGCCACCTGCTCAGCAGCAGGCAATCCCTACATGGGACCCCTGCCCACATAACACCCTCCCAGCCATGCCCAGCTTGTCCTCCAGGCAGCGCAGTGGGAAGGAGCAAGAAACAACAGCATCTCAATGCAAATGAGCAGACCCACGAGATTTGGACCCCACAGTCTCACACTTCCTCCTCCTTCTTGCACACAGACACTTGTTTCTCAGCATGCATCCAAAATCAGAAAGATGTGGTGTCTGAACTAAGGGACCCAGTGATCTCTTCACGGCAGCACCAGGTACTCCCCAAGCCCCTGACCATTCTCCTCAGCCCTGTACAGAATCCATGCAGCCTACAGTATCTCAATAGAAAAACACATTCTTTGATCTTCCTGTTATCAGCAAAGCAGGGTAGAGGATGGAGTGAGGAGGAGGAGGTCAGGGGTGTGCATGGCAGCTGGCAGGATGCTGGGACAGGCACAGAGCATCCCTTTCAGGACCACCAAGATGCAGATGTGGTACAGGGGTGCTTGCTCTGAGCACCAATACCCAGAGTTGCTGCACACAGCCCAGGAGATAATATAAATTGAGGGCAGCTGTCCTTATTTTAGGTGGTGCTGGGGGTGGATCTCAATTTCAATTTTTGCCTGATGGTATTTTTACACAAAGGAGAAGACCGTATGCTAAAATGGGGCATTTAGAGAGAAAAGCTGATGCATCCACACACATACCCCCTTCCCCAGGGGCTAGCTGGCTACTGCTGCTATTCAGGTATCTGGGACAGGGCCAAGAAAGTCACCCCATTTATGAGCCCCCATCTCCTCTCTGTTGCTCCCTGAGGAAACGCACACCAACCACGCTCACAGTGCTGAACCCAAACATCCACACAGCAAGCCTGTCTTCTCCCAGCTGAGGAGCTACAGCTGAGAAAGGACCTCCACCACCCAGTGCCTGTCCCCAGCCCCCCTTTTCCAGCAGGGACACTGCTCCCTCCCTGGCGGGCCGTGAGGCAGCGGCTGAAGAGCAGCTCATTATCCCTGACGCAAGAGAAACGCTGACTCGTTATTACAGCAACCTGCAGCCATAACTGCCGAGGGGCTGTGGCCACAGGCTGAGTGCCAGCAGGAACCAGCTCCCTGCCCACCCCCCACCTCCCATTATTACCCTTCTGCTCTCCCAACAACGGGGAAAAACCACCTCAGAGTGCTTTATGCCACATGCCAGACACCAAAGTGCACTCACTGACTGTGGAGCACACTGAGCAGCGCGCTGGGTGAGGGCTGTGCACACACAGGTACCAGCACAGGGACCCAGTGGGACACTGTCACATCCACACTGCCACAGGAAGACACCAGCTGATTTGTTCTGGCTTTCGACCCATGAAGTTGTAACCAAATCATCCTCCGCGTTTTGCAGACAAAAGACTAGGATGTCAGCAAAAAAAAAGACCTCTCCAAGGTCACAGGGGGACTGGCAGCAGGGACGTGACCAGAACTCGATCACAAAGGCTCCCAAGCTGCAGGGCTGCACTGCCTGCCCAGAGAGGGACTGGGCAGGGAAGCGCTGGTGGATGACAGGATCAATTGGTATCTCTCATCCTAACCTGACCTGCTGCCCAGCAGGGACAATCCACGCAGGAAAAAGGTCCAAATTACACAGTCCAGCATGTAGTGCAAAGAGACCAGAGCTGCCTGACTCTCTTCTCGGGCCCTATGCAACATTTCACTTCAAATCTGTCACCTGGCTCCCCCTCAGAGGCCAAGGCAGTGCCTGCACAGGTTCCCAGGACAGTTACAGGACTCTTCCAAGCAACACTCAGCAGAGAAGGGGGTGAGGTCTGCTAGGGAAAAGCAGCAAAGCAAGAAACCCTAAACCGAAAGATTAGCATGGCCAATTTGATCCCTCCCAAAATCTTGTTTGCTTCCTGTTCCCCTCCTTTGTTACCTGCTGAGCAGGACTGGGGAGGGTCCACCTCTCAGTCAACCCAGATCATTCCAGCCCTCTCCAGCTGCCAGGTCCACGCTAACACTTCCCATGCCTCTAAACTTACTGTAAGATATTCACCCCCTCAAAGAGAAGCTGAAGCTTGAGACAGATGGGTCAATCCTAACATGATGTTGGCTAGGTCCCAAGACCTGCTAAGACCTGTGCAAGAGAAACAAAAAAAAGCT